TGTTTAGAATCAGAGGTGCTAGTTTCAAATCCTTTTTAGTCTGAAATCTGTATGCTTGATATTGAATAAGGTGGTTTTATTGTTTTTTGTCACTTTGAATAATATTTCTGTTCATGTTAAAAACGAAATCAACTCTCTGTATAAATATATCAGGTGACCGTTAAGGCCCATGGGCCTCTTGTTCTTTCTTTCTGTTATATGTTGTTTTTTTAATCCATCCCATTCCAATAAATTTAATATAAAGAACGTTAATATGCATAATTTCCATGATAAAGGGAATTCTAATTCCTGGTATGTAAACAATTTGTATCATGGCATAACATTTACTGACAAATGTGTTTATGCCATCAATTAGAATCTGCTTTACAAGAGCTATTCTGTTATGTAGTATATTGTGTATTCAGTGTTTCAGAGAAAAGAAATGGTTTGTTCTCTTTTACTATTAACGAGTTGTATTCAGTATTAATTACATTAATTTCAGAAGTACACTGTAGATCTAGACTTGTTATATTCTGAAGTGGTGTTTAATCATGATGTACAATCTACAATGCACAGGTTTCCGGCTGTCCAACACTAAATGTATGAGTATCATTGACATGTGGAAGAAGATGTACCACCCCAATATTGTACAGCTGAGGGAGGTCTTCACCACCAAGGCCTTCGGGGACAATTGTGAGTACACCTTACTCTCTGAAAAACAATTACCGAATGGATTGTTTGGGATTTATTGTTTTTGTCAAAACCAGAAAAAAACAAAGTTCATTAAAACAGTTATTGTCATTTTTAGCTGCTATCCTCAGACATAAAACACATACCTCAGGGATAAAAAACATGGATTTATGTCATCACAGATTTTCCATTAAGGTGTTCTTTTTATAAACCTCATTACGTTATACACTGTTTTGAGAAAAAAAGGTAAATGCATCATATCTAAAGTATGGATTCTACTCTCCACTTCTAAATTATACTGTTGTATTTTGTAACTGGAATCATAGGTTTTAGTCAGGTAATAGAACTTTAAAACAAAAATAAAATACGCTGTTTCCTAATTTAATTTGATATTCATAATCAGTTAGATGTGGTTATTTATTAGCTCACCGGGTCCGAAGGACCAAGGTGAGCTTATGCCATACTGTGGCGTCCGTACGTCAACAATTTCTTTTAACCGACTTCTTCTTCTTAACCACTGATTGGAATTCAACTAAATTTGACTGGAAGCATCCTTAGGTGGTGTGGATTCAAAATTGTATAATTGGTAGGGCTGACCCCCTAGGGGGTTGAGGGGCAGGGCCAAAAGGGGGCAATTTGGCTATATTGCTACAAACAACTTCTTCTGTAGAACTATGCACTGGATATCAATCATATTTGAGCAAAAGCATTCATGGGAGGCAGGAATTCAAAATTGTCAAAGGGTGTGGCTGACCCCGCCAGGGGACTGAGGGGCTTTGCCACAAGGGGTCAATTTGACTATATTGCTTTAAGGGACTTCTTCGCTGGAACTAAGAGATGGATATCAACGATATTTGACTGAAAGCATCCCTAGGTAGTGAGGATTAAAAATTGTATAATTGGTTGGGCTGACCCCCCAGGGGGCTGAGGGGCTTGGCCAAAAGGGGGCAATTTGGCTATATTGCTACCAAGAACTTAATCTGTCGAACTGTGCACTGGATATCAATCACATTTGATCAAAAGCATTCATGGGAGGCAGGAATTCAAAATTGTCAAAGGGTGTGGCTGACCCCGCCCGGGGGCTGAGGGGCGGGCCAAAAAGGGGTATGTGGCTATACTGCTTTAAGCCACTTCTCTGGAACTAACTGATGGATATCAACCATATTTGACTGGAAGTAACCTAGGTGGTGGGGATTTATACAAATGGTGGGGCTGACCCCGCCAGGGGGCTGAGGGGCTTGGCCAAAAAGGGGCAATTTTGCTATATTGCTACAAACATCTTCTTCTGTAGAACTATGCACTTGATATCAATCATATTTGAGCAAAAGCATTCATGGGAGGCAGGGATTCAAAATTGTACGAATGGTGGGGCTGACCCCGCCAGGGGGCTAAGGGGCGGGCCAAAAAGGGGTATGTGGCTATACTGCTTTAAGCCTCTTCTCTGGAACTAAGAGATGGATATCAACGATATTTGACTGAAAGCATCCCTAGGTAGTGAGGATTCAAAATTATATAATTGGTTGGGCTGTACCCCCAGGGGGTTGAGGGGCTTGGCCAAAAGGGGGCAATTTGGCTATATTGCTACCAAGAACTTAATCTGTCGAACTGTGCACTGGATATCAATCACATTTGATCAAAAGCATTCATGGGCGGCAGGGATTCAAAATTGTACAAATGGTTGGGCTGACCCCCTAGGGGGTTGGGGGGCAGGGCCAAAAGGGGGTAATTTTGCTATATTGCTACAAACAACATCTTCTGTAGAACTATGCACTTGATATCAATCATATTTGATCAAAAGAATTCATGGGAGGCAGGGCTTCAATATTGTACGAATGGTGTGGCTGACCCCACCAGGGGACTGAGGGGCGGTCCAAAAAGGGTTATGTGGCTATACTGCTTTAAGCCACCTCTCTGGAACTAAGTGATGGATATCAACCATATTTGATTGGAAGCATCCCTAGGTAGTGAGGATTCAAAATTGTATAATTGGTAGGCCTGACCCCCTAGGGGGTTGGGGGGCAGGGCCAAAAGGGGTCAATTTGCCTATATTGCTTTAAGGGACTTCTTCTCTGGAACTAAGTGATGGATATCAACCATATTTGATTGGAAGCATCCCTAGGTAGTGAGGATTAAAAATTGTACAAATAGTGTGGCTGACCCCCCAGGGGACTGAGGGGCTTGGCCAAAAGGGGTCAATTTGACTATATTGCTTTAAGGGACTTCTTCTCTGGAACTAAGAGATGGATATCAACGATATTTGACTGAAAGCATCCCTAGGTAGTGGAGATTCAAAATTCTACAAATGATGGGGTTGACCCCCTGGGCTAAGGGGTGGGGCCAAAAAAAGTTTATTAATTGGAAATAGTTGAGATCCCCACCATATAACCATATATACAATTGCTGAGTATAAAGAGAAGAATGCACATTTGCTTTCATGATGGCCCTAGGGTCTGGCCCAACCCTATGAGGCATAGTCCCTGGGTCATAATTTTGAAACAGTTGAGATCCCCACCCCAAAGCTATATATACAAATACTGGGCATAAAGAGACGAATGTAGTCATGATATTAGAATAGACCCTGGGGTCTGACCAAACCCCTAGGGACCTAGTTTCTTAGTCACAGCTTGGAAACAGTTGAGATCCCCACCCTATAACCATATATATGCAATTGCTGAGTATAAAGAGATGAATGCACATATACTTCCAGGATGGCTTTGGGGTTTGCCCCACCCTTGGAGACTTAACCCCTGGGTCATAACTTCGAAATGGTTAAGATCCCCACCCCAAAACTATGTATACAATTGTTGGGCATAAAGAGACGAATGCAGTCATGATATTAGAATTGACCCCAGGGTCTGCCCCACCTTTGCAGACTTAACCCTTGGGTCATAACTTTGAAACAGTTGAGATCCCCAACCCAAAACTATAAATACACATGCTGGGCAAAAAGAGACGAATGCAGTCATGATATTAGAATTGATCCTGGGGTCTGGCCACAACCCTAGGGACCTAGTTTCTGAGTCGCAGCTTGGAAACAGTTGAGATCCCCACCCCATAACCATACATTAATATTAGATATCCAGGTGAGTGATACAGGCCCTTTGGGCCTCTTGTATTTATTTACCTGCACATCAGTGAGTTGTATTGTCTACCTGTGACACATACATTATACGGCAAATTAGTGTTACTTCCCTATCTCGTCAGATTGGGTACCTTTGTAGCCGTTTCATACTGTTTTTGAATGTGCTGTCACAAATACACCAACTGCTATAGATTTGTCAAAGTATGCATGGTTGAGCTATAGCTACCGAAAGTATGGAAAATAAAAGATTGGTTTGTCTCAGAATTCTGTCACCAGTTTTGATTGGAACTGACCTTTAGACATTCAAGAAACATAGTGATGTCACAATTGACAATATACATGTATACCTATTGTTGTTCTCACTATACCCTACTCTCTGATTGGTTATTTTTTTCTCGCGGGCACGAAGTGGAAACGAGATTTAGGTGTTGCTTTTCCGGTGACAGTGTCAACATAAAGTTTTTGTGTTCAAGTTAGTTTCTCTGAAAGTATAAGTGCTAAACCAACCAAACTTGGGCCGTAGATGCATGTTAGGTAGTACATCTCAACCCATGCATCAAATGCTGGATGAGCCCTACTTTTCAGGGTCCATTGACTTTGTCAACATCTCCATCAATATTAAGTTTTGCGTTTAAGTTAGTTTCTCTGATATGTGCAAGGATGGTCAAAGTGGGACATAGGCGAGACATATTAATCCGAATGGCTTGTTTTTTCACACCAAACCCTTCTCTGATTGGTTGATTTAGTGTAAAAAATAACAAAATGTTTATTACAGTAGAAAAATATGAACTTCATCATAGCTGTATAACCATCAATATGTTTTACAAATAAAACAAAATGTGATGTATAGTTTATGTGTATGACTACTTATGTTGTATTTACAGCTATAGTTTTTGTGTATGACTACTTATGTTTTATTTACAGCTATAGTTTTGGTTTATGACCACTAATCTTGTGTTTTACAGCTTTAGTTTTTGTGTATGACTTCAATGTTGTATTTTACAGCTATAGTTTTTGTGTATGACTACTTATGTTGTATTTTACAGCTATAGTTTTTGTGTATGACTACTAATATTATATTTTACAGCTAAAGTTTTTGTGTATAACTACTAATGTTGTATTTACAGCTATAGTTTTGGTTTATGACCACTAATGTTATATTTTACAGCTTTAGTTTTGGTTTATGACTACTAATGTTGTATTTACAGCTATAGTGTTTGTGTAAGACTACTTATGTTGTATTTTACAGCTATAGTTTTGGGTTATGACCACTACTGTTGTATTTACAGCTATAGTTTTTGTGTATGACCACTAATGTTGTATTTTACAGCTATAGTTTTGGATTATGACCAATAATGTTGTATTTACAGCTATAGTTATGTGTATGACTACTAATGTTGTATTTTACAGCTATAGTTTTGGTTTATGACCACTAATGTTATATCTTACAGCTTTAGTTTTGGTTTATGACTACTAATGTTGCATTTACAGCTATAGTTTTTGTGTATGACTACTTATGTTATATTTACAGCTATAGTGTTTGTGTATGACTATTTATGTTGTATTTACAGATATAGTTTTTGTGTATGACTACTTATGTTGTATTTACAGCTATAGTTTTGGTTTATGACCACTAATATTATATTTTACAGCTTTAGTTTTGGTTTATGACTACTAATGTTGTATTTACGGCTATAGTTTTTGTGTATGACTACTTATGTTGTATTTTACAGCTATAGTTTTGGGTTATGACCACTACTGTTGTATTTACAGCTATAGTTTTTGTGTATGACCACTAATGTTGTATTTTACAGCTATAGTTTTTGTGTATGACTACTTATGTTTTATTTACAGCTATAGTTTTGGTTTATGACCACTAATCTTGTGTTTTACAGCTTTAGTTTTTGTGTATGACTTCAATGTTGTATTTTACAGCTATAGTTTTTGTGTATGACCACTAATGTTGTATTTTACAGCTATAGTTTTGGTTTATGACTACTAATGTTGTATTTACGGCTATAGTTTTTGTGTATGACTACTTATGTTGTATTTACAGCTATAGTGTTTGTGTATGACTATTTATGTTGTATTTACAGCTATAGTTTTTGTGTATGACTACTTATGTTGTATTTTACAGCTATAGTTTTGGTTTATGACCACTAATGTTGTATATACAGCTATAGTTTTTGTGTATGACCACTTATGTTGTATTTACAGCTATAGTTTTTGTGTATGACTACTTATGTTGTATTTACAGCTATAGTGTTTGTTTATCACTATTTATGTTGTATTTACAGCTATAGTTTTTGTGTATGACTACTTATGTTGTATTTACAGCTATAGTTTTGTGTATGACTACTTATGTTGTATTTTACAGCTATAGTTTTGGTTTATGACCACTAATGTTGTATTTTACAGCTATAGTTTTTGTGTATGACTACTATGCGGGAGCAGAGACTCTGATGGCCCACCACTTCCACAATACAGGCGCCATGAACACCTACCATGGTAGCATGGACGGATCTGCTCGTCCATTCAACCCTAGTCACGGAGGAGGGGCTAGTGGAGGGGCAGCTGGTGGCAAGGGAAGTAAGTGTTCCTTTTTTTCTGATCTAATATTTTTGTTAATCGTCACGAGAAGAAGATCCTGTGAGATGCAGACATACAGAACCCTAATACTTGCAGTTGATTATAGTACTTCGTTAATTCCTGAATTATTCTCCTAGTTGTATTCTGAGTGGAAGATTCAATATTCTAGAGATCTGATTTACCAAACTGATCCTTTTTTCCGCAGATCCTAAGTTTCTCTTGTATAACATATACAGAAATAGCTTTTAGGTTAAATAATGATGTAATCTTATATTAGTAACGGACATAAAACAGACCTCCCTCCTCAATTATATGGGTACAGACTAAAAATATTTAAACTTTTCTCAGCCCTTAAAACTCAACAATGATTGAGTCTGGAAATATTATAAAAGAACTTTTGAAAATACTTCAATTTTATTTTGAAATAATGCTTAAAATATCCTATTTATTAGTCCCCCACCAGGAACTGGTAGGGGGGGGGGGGGACTATAGTTTTGCGCTGTGTCAGTCCGTCCTTCTGCTATCTCCTACACTACTTGTCACTGGAACTTCATACTTGGTGTATGGGTTCACCTTGGTGAGGCAGTGTGTCATGTATCAAAAGTAGGTCACCCTGACCTATATTTTGACATTTGATCTACATCAAGGAAAATTTTGTCCAGGCTTTATCTCCTGCACTACTGGTCACTGGAACTTCATACTTGGGGTATGGGTACCCCTTGGTTAGACGATGTGTCATGTATTAAAAGTAGGTCACTCTGACCTACATTTTGACCTGCATCAAAGAAAAAGTTTGTCCTGACTCTTATCTCCTACACTACTTGTCACTGGAATTTTATACTTGGAGTATGGGTTCATCTTGGAGAGGCGGTGTGTTGTATATCAAAGTAGGTAACTCTGTTTTTGACCAGGTCACTGACAAGGTCACTGACACTATTCCTTATTGAATATGGTGGGTCTGTCAAACATTTATATATAGAATTAGTTACTGCACAAATTTATCATCTATGCATTTCACATTCGGTGAGGGACTAAAATTCGTTGAATTGTCTTTTTTTGAATGTTTTCTATAATTAATATGTAAGTATTACCTTTTTCTGCAATTTATGTCAACGGCTTTTGCCACTTGTATTTATCTATATTATCTGTATTGTGTAGATGGGAATGGTCCTCGCCAACACGCTGGCTTGCTTCCAGAGAGCCTAATCTGGGCATATGTGGTACAGCTAAGCTCTGCCCTAAGGGCTATACATGCCGCAGGACTAGCATGCAGGACCATGGACCCCACAAAGATCCTCATCTATGGCAAGTCAAGATTGCGGCTTAACTGTGTTGGTATCCTGGATGTCCTCACCTTCGATAGTACCAATGGCAACCCTATGGCTGTGATGCCTCATTATCAGGTACAACTTGTAGGGTTTTATTGTTACAACCCCCTCTTAGACTATATTGTAATCACTGTGAGGGGGTATATAGTAATCACTGTGAGGGGGTATATAGTTATCAAAGTGAGTTGGTATATAGTAATCACTGTCAGGGGGTATATAGTAATCACTGTGAGGGGATATATATATATAGTAATCACAGTGAGGGGGTATATAGTAATCATTGTGAGGGGATATATATATATAGTAATCACAGTGAGGGGGTATATAGTAATCACTGTGAGGGGATATATATATATATATATAGTAATCACAGTGAGGGGGTATATAGCAATCACTGAGGGGATATATATATATATATAGTAATCACTGTGAGGGGGGTATATATATATAGTAATCACTGTGAGGGGGTATATAGTAATCACTGTATCTATTATTTTGGGCCTTCATTAACTTTGTTTTTAATTTCATATCAATATGCAGAGGCATAGGAACTTTTATAGAACATAATTTTGTTTGTACAGTTAATTTGAAGTGTTTAAGTAACAACACCTTTGCAAATAAGTATAATTACCAAGAAACCTGAAAGCTATATATAAGGTGAAGGTCATTTAAATTTTGACCAACTGTTTTAGGATTTTTTTACAAATCACATTAAAGTTAAAGGAAGTCATGAAATATATATTAAATAATTTCAGCGCAGCTATATTTCACTCTTATTTATAATTCACTGTAATTGATGTGATTTCAGCAAGATGACTTGCTGTTCATGGGGCGTGTGGTATTGGCCCTGGCCTGTAACACTGTACTGGCCATTCAGCGAGACAGCTTCCAAAACTCAATGGAACTCATTGCCAGAAACTACTCAGCAGATCTTAAGAACCTCTTCTTGTAAGACTTTTCCTTCACAATTGCTATAAATTTTGTATGCTACACAAATTCATCCTTCCACATTTCAAATATTACTAATGATGTAAATGAAAATAGAAAAGATGAGCAACAACACAACTGAATCCGGTACAAAATGTAATGTTTGATTTACATCCTAAGTGCTGACATGTTTCGGCCAAAGGGAGGCCGTCTTCAGAGCACAGTTACATGATGTTTGCAACTTTGGTACAATGACAATAAAGGTCATGTGACTAGAACAGAGTTACAGTCTGGTAGGGTGAAAAGGTTTAGCCATTTTTTATTGGTGCATAATAGAATAAGTGCAAAATAATTTCAGTAATGATGTAAATGTTGAGACACACTTTCCAGGATGAATTTTCTCCATGATCTTCAAATGACATCCTTATTATGCAAATGCATTATGGAGGTCATAATTAAAATGGAGATCTGGGCCCGTATTCATGAAACTGTTCTCATGGATTTTGTGCTCAAACCGACTTTCTTGTAACAGTTCATTTGATATCCAATGCTGACATAGTTTAGTTATAGCTCTCTCTTCTATATATTTACATATGCTAATCTGTTATATGCAGTGTTCAAGAGCAAGTGTTATAAGACTTTCACGCTATGCTTGACTGTTTTAGGTACTTACTGGCCAATCAGAACCGGCCCAGGAGCATTAATGACATAATGCCAATGATTGGGGCGAGGTTCTACACCCAGCTAGACTCTGCTCAACTCAGGAGTGATGTGATAGAGACGGAGCTGGCCAAGGTTTGTCACCCACCTCCTTATACCATTTGTCCAGAGAGACTTTGGCGGGTTTGGTAATAATTTTAGGGAGACATATGAAGGAATATTTAAAAAAAAAGTGAAAAGGGGACCTCGAAATATGTTGCAGTAAGCAAAGTGTGAAATGAAACGAGGGGTACTGTATCAGGGTTTGTACTGTATGCCTTGTCCAAAAAATAGTCGATAGGTCAGGGAAATAGCAATGATAATTCTTTTGAAAGACATGAATAACATATTATGGAAACATACACTATCAATTGTTGATGTGGGTAATAAATAAAACTTTCATATATAAATCTCATTGTTTTTGTTTACAGGAAGTAGAGAATGGTCGAGTGCTCCGACTGATGAGCAAGTTTGGGATTATCAACGAAAGGCCAGAGTAAGTACTGTGTTTCACTTTCCTTATTAACATGCAGTGGACTTTGATATTAGTCCTGATCCATCATCTGATGGTGGGCTATTCAAATCACCTTTCGTCTGTGGTCTGTCGTCCAATGGTCATCTGTCCTTAAATTTACATTTCTTTTTATTTTAACTATTCAACATCCCACTTCAGGTTAAAATGTTTGAGCAGGTTTTTTCAGACAGTTTTGTATCACCACAATCAATAGGCTGTTGATTATTATAAGGTTGAGACAAATATTAAAATGGAGTGTAAGTAATGTGCTGAACCATATTTTGATATTTTAGGGGCCAAAATCAGCTCAATTGGATTTGTTTCAAGATCTTGAGCAGGTTGTTTTTATGCAGAGTTAGATCACCCAAGTAATGTAATAATATAATATTATAGGGTGAGGCTTTAATATGATAAGTAAGTAATGTGCTGAACCAATTTTCATATTCCAAAAGCAGCTTAACTGGACTTTGTTCAAGTTTTTTAACAAATGTTTGGGCAGTGTTTGATCACCAAACTTAATAGGCTGTTGAATTAATTGTCATCTGTATTTTTTAGAACTATATGTCAGAACTTTATTGTTATTATGTTAATTAAAGTAAGTTACAATTTGAGGAAAATGCTCAAAAAATGGAGTAAAACAGTTGAGGACAAATGTTTGCTTTTTCCGTTGATATATTTCATAGAAAACAATCCTATGCCCCCACCATGGTAACTATGTGTATAATAATGATGAAATATCAATTCAATAGTTTTGACTTAATGCTGTTGTTACAACTAATATTTACAGGTTCAACCTGGATCCACAGTGGTCTGAAACGGGTGATAGATACATGCTAAAGCTGTTCAGAGATTACCTGTTCCACCAGGTGGATGAGAATGGGGCTCCTTGGATTGATATGGCCCACATCGTACAGTGCTTAAACAAGGTGTGTATTAACAGTCCTGTTTACTAGATTTAAACATAAGATATTATGTAATAATGATAATAATAATTGGAGGTTCTTATATACTGCTTTATCACAACCTGGTTTGTAGGTCGTCTCAAAGCGGTTCACAAATTATTATCCGTACACAGAATAAACCCACCAATGACCTGTCTGTTCCTCATAGCTTCATAGCATCATTGTCATGTAATTACACAAGTGTTCTGTGGCAGATTTTTAAAAGGTATTTAAGTCGTTCACCCCTGAAGGTTCATTATGAACTAATCCAGCCTTTGAACTGGAAGAGTTCAAATGTGTCTTAAGGGGTGAATGAGTTCAGAAATAATATATTCTGCTACAGCCAAATGTCAACTAATAAATAGTCTACTTGAATTGAAATGGTGATGTCTGTATCACAATTATATGATAAAATCACCTGTGACAAAATCTAGGAATAACTTTCTTGGTTAAGTTAAGAGTAGAAAATGTGAATCTACTTTTGTTTTGGACAAAGATTGTGTATAATTTCTGTTGATTATTGTTTTTGTTGATAAAAGACTTGTTTTAAGTTTTTGTGGATTGTTGTCATTGATAAAGACTGTTGACAGTTTCTGTTGCGTGTTTGTTGTTGAGGATACATATCATTCCTATTTATGTTGATAGCTGGATGCTGGCACATCGGAGAAGATCTGTCTTATGTCTCGTGATGAACACAGTGTGCTAGTGGTCTCATACGCAGAACTCAAACAGAATTTTGAGCAGTCATTTAACGATCTCGTGTCGGCACGTCACCAGAACGGGACCTACTCTTAGTGGTCATAAGACAAGCCGACAACTGTCAGTGGCTGTCAGTCTTACATGGATGTTTATTGGAACAGATTATTTGTAAGTTATGGAACAATGAAAACATTTTGTATTTCAACTGGTCATTGCATATCTTAAATTAAACAGCGATAAAGTGCGACAAAGAGCTATGAAGGGCAGTGTAATCGGAACTGATCTTGAACTTTCTGTACAGACAGTGATGTTTCTGACCACACCCAGGAGAGATAACTCCTTGACATATATCGTGAAGTAAGCTCTGTCCTTATGCCTAAGGCAGCAAAAATGTGTCATTTGTTTCAATATTGTTTTTGATTGGGAAAAATGCATTTTCTTTTTGAATGGAAATAATTGATATGGACATTTTTATGATTATTGTATAAATTGAACTGGTTTTTGTTTCAATGGTATTGTATTGTAAGATTGATATTCAATTTTATGAACAAATTGATAAAAAAAACAGTGTGTATAGGAATGTACAATACTTGTTTTGCATGCTGACCCCATGTATGGGGCTGACCCTGTGTATGGGGCCGAACTTGTGTACGGGGCTTAACCTGTGTACATTTATGGACGATAAACTTGCACCTTCCTTGTCTACAGCAGGCAGGACTTGTTGAAGTAGGTTTAACAAGGGCATATTTTTGTATGTTCAGATTTGTTAATACCTCTGATGAATTTTTAAAGTGACCTTTCATCTTTGTTAATATAAATTTTTATATGGCCATTTTCAGTTACAAGAGGTAATAATTCAAATGCTTTGGAATGAAGAAAGGTTTATGATTTTGTATCCTACATTCTTCAGAAAAAACAACTTGAATATATCAAAGAATAAATATTTGCAGCCAAATCATGTCTCTATGAAAAAACAATCATGGTTGTTTTGAAAGGTTAAGGAAACATTGTATAATGAATATTTGAAATTCTATAAAATACTGGCATTCCATTCGCATCAGCATTTGCCCATTGTACAACCACTCCTTGCATAATTTTCATTGAAGATTTTCCGATGGCATCTCATAGAATAGTTCCCATATGTGTGAAAGACTGCAAATAGGACAGCATAAAGATCTCGTTTAAAATCAAACTCACCAAAATAGCATTAGCTTTGTTTAGCACTGTATGGCTCACTGTTAGATACTTCAGACCTGTGCTATTGACACAGAAAATATCACATATCTGTGATCAGTGGACAGAATATCTTGTTTATGAAAAGGTACTCAAAGGTCTGGAAGTAAAATAAATACATATCTACAACAATCTCAAAGTCAAAATGTTTATCTTATTCTATTTGGATGTTTGATGTGGCTAAAATGTTGAGATTTGTTACCGGTGCTGTCAGCACAAGAAATTTATACTGACAATTAATTGAATGGACAGATATATAATCCTTATAGTAAGATAGTGTCTCATCTGCTTGATCGATCATTTCATCGGAAAAAAACAAATTGTTCCTTCATAAATATGTTGATAGATTATATAATATTTTAATTAATTGTTCGCGATGAAATATATGATAGGATTCCATCAATAAAAGTTGAAGATATAGTTTATTGACTAATCAATGCTCACAGCTCTTTCTTTGGAATAAAGACTGCCATAGGGTAAGATTACAATGGAGTTTTGACAAAATCATTAATTATGTTTCCAAGTGAACAATAATAATTTGAAGTATAAGCATGTTTCCAAAATATATCTTACAGCAGCAATATAGGATGAATGAGTTCATACTGCTGAAGTAGCATCCAGCCTTTCCATTGGTCAAAGACTAGGCAGATATTCTTTATTGATAATCTTTGTCGAAGATACTTTTTACAACTTAAGATCTTGGTTTATGTAGTGAAAAGTCATAAATAGAAAGTTTAATGGTTTCTGAATGAGGAGCATGTTATTTCACTGTTGTGGCAGAATATAACAACATTTGCCCTGGTGCTAAAATTGTTATTTTACCAAAATGTGTATGGTTTTCAATAGGCAACCTTCAGATGTTCTCTAAACAGCATGACTTAGTCAATTACAACAATGAAATCAATATCTGTTTGAATAGTGTCACAGACAAGTTTTGTTTTATAGATTTCAATGAAACTTTCGTGATTGCCGTTACTGTCGGTGCATCAGCTACTTAATATAAACTTACAGATAAAGAGGATTTTTGGTGGGCGTTCTAGTTAGAGTACATCGACAAGAATAATTGGGGTTTATATACATTATATGAGTGTGAATTGTGAAAATTGAAATTGTCCTCAAAACATTTCTGGTACTTGTTATAAAGTTTTAGGCTTCTGTTTCTTAATGACATAGCTATAGTTAATGTATCCAGCCAAGATTTTTTTTAAACAATTTCAGTCCTGTCAACAATGTCACAGGCAAATCAGCCTTTGTTTCTGTGATCTCAGTTTATAAATTAGCAAGCACTATTAATTGATTTCTGATCTATATAGATAACAGGAATCTAGGTAAACAGTGTTTGATAGCCTTAGGAATAAAACATTCTGTATGGTGATTTATCAGATATTTACTGCAAATGCTCAAAACCCATACCACGTTTTCCTTGGCTGAGGATTTAGGTTGAGTTCCATACCGAATCCTCAGCTAGTTGAGAAAATTTTAAGCACCTTTATTTTATTTTTTTCAATTTCTGTTATTTGTTAACTTCAGGTCACATTGTGGTTAGAATGCTACAATTTGTTGAGATCTTTTCATATTGAGAATGTCTTCATTAAGATCAAAAGCATCAGTTGGATGTAAACACATGCAGCTCACGGATACATTCTTCATTTCTTGAATCACATGAAATCTTGCCATTGGTTTGGGTGAAGAGGATTTCATCATGGCTTTTAAAATTGCATGAAAAATATATTTTTCTGAATAATCACTCATCCATTATATATATGGTTACTGGAGACAAAAACAGGAGATTGCATGTTAATTAAATAATACATATTTACAAATGTTCTTCATCGATCATTGAAGATAAAGTTTGTCAAAAGCAACAAACACCATACCAAACTGATTTACATGTATGTGATCATAAGTCTTTTGATTTTTTTTTCTTGAAGTGCTCCATGAGATACATCAACACTGTCTGAATTGTCAGTATAACCTTCCAATGGTGAATGCACTTGTACAATATAAAAATGCCAGTATGTTAAAAAGACAATTAGTAAAATGACGCTGAAATTCAGGTCGGTCAGAGTTTCTATTTTCATGATTTGAGTCAGAATTGCCTCCCCTTAATTCATTACTTCTGATATGACCAGACAACAAAACATACACAAGCAAAAGAAACGTCATTATTTCTCTTTGAATTATTATGTATTTGGTAAGATTTCACCATGTGGTTGAATTCACAACACTTGTTGACCAAGTATCAGTTGGACTTTGTAGAGTAGGAACAATTGAAGCCAGACCGATGGAATTGTAAGTCATGTTGGGGATTGTAGAGCTGAGGAGAAGGCGCTGTGATGTTTTGTTTTAATATAATTTACCACTGTGACTAAATGTACATATTCATATTTTAATGTTTTTTTCAAGTGAAAATTTTAAGAAAACTGACTGAAGGGATATTTTCTCCGAATTGCTCACCTGGAAATATGTCGTAAATTATTCTTACACGATTTGATATTTCCTACGAACAAATAGCAAACATGACAACATGTATCTGGATGTGTGAAGCCCTATGGATTTCTGCAGTGTATATGTCTGAACAAGGATGTATTGGTTCATTTGTAAACGATTTTATCTCAGATATTGGTGTTCTGTGTAGTACTTGTTAAGGAGGGAATAGTAATGTGAACTGAAAAAAGAATGTATATGCTGTATTTCAACACAGTTGTCCCTGTTTATCAACTCCAAAGTCCGGCATTAATCGTCCGAGGTATTGGTTGGACTGCAGTGTTAATTAACTGGTTGGTTATAACCTTCCATGGCTTCGATTGGTCAATATTCTGAACTATGGAATGGTTTTAGGAATGATGTCCTTTAAATTTTTGCTCGTCCGTTACAGATCATATTTATGGCTTACAAGTGTTAAATTTTGGGAATACTTAGAATTGGTGAAATCAAGCATTATCCAAACTATGGAGTATAAAGCTGTAAACACAGGTGATACGTCAATTAGCAAATTTAGCATCTGGAACAAATTCCTATGTGTCCAGAGTAGTCTTGTTCATGGTATCAGAAATTGTGAAAGATAGAAGTTACAAAGATTTAGACAGTTTTCTGATCAAACTGTGTTGTTAGAAAAAAGGAATTTGCTACAGCTCACTTTCTTTTCAAAACTGGAAATTGAACTTGATAATGGTAAACATGGCCAACAAAAGTTTGTTACTGTACATGTGGAACCTCTATATATATACTTGTATGTGTAAGGATAGGACATTGTTATGTGGACAGGAGGACTAAAGGATACTGGTTATGTTGTTGTATACTATACAACACGTGTAGTAATTGTGATGGAGGGGACGGACTGTGATGACAGGAGACGGGTTAGGTTGTTGTATACTATTCATTGTGGGTATTGATATAACTTTGTTATGGAACTGATACATCATCATTGAAAAAGTAATATGTCAAAGAGATTCTATAAATTAGAAGTTGACAAATTATTGTGATGATGCAAATGTAATATTGAAACTAGTTGTTGTGCTACAAAATCATTTGGAGTTCTGATTAATGGCATTGCTTTTTGAGCTGTTGACTATGGGTGCACTTGATTCACGCTGCACCGTGCCTTTACTGAACTGATATTGGATAGCTATAGGGGAGCAATATCTCAGTTATTTTATTACGCATGGTATATGCCTTGATGTACCTTATCTAGGAACATATCCATGAATGCCTTTAATATGTCTACTTAGTGTATTTTTCACATGTTAGACAAACTGGATGAATCAGAACTTGCATCACACATCTAAGTTCTATAAACGCATTATATTGTTAGAAGTTGAGCATATTTGATTGGTGAAGAATCACCTGTGAGAACAAGTGAAGAGGGTGGGCGGTGAATCAGGTGCACTTGTCACTTTTCTGAGATGTCAGTTTGAGTAATGCCTTTTGTAAGACCCAGGAAAAATTGATTTGTTGGAATGTATGTACATATATGTGAATTATTGATGGTCAGATCAGTGATTTCCCTTGACAAAAATAGATATTGATATTTTTATGATGTGGCCATGTTAGATATGATTTCAGTTAATCTGGCCAGTGATGATTGACCCAGGCATAGTGAATTGTGCCCAGAACTGTATTGGCCACGGTAAATATGGGCTGTCATTAACCCTCAAGATAAACATGGGTTTCAATTGACCCTTAATCTGATTGGCCACAATAAATTTAGGTGACCATTGGAGCGATTGTTATGTTGGCAAAGGGAACTTTTGGGTTGCCATTCTCCCAGATAAAACTGGGAGGCTATGAGTGCTGCTGGAAAACTCCACACACTGTTTTAGAAAGATTTTGTCATGAATTGTTTTAACTTTATTGTTTTGTGATCATTATAAATCATGTTTTCATGTCATCTCATTACACTTTTAAAATTAGTGTTATTTATTTCAACAACACTGTCATCATGATTGACTCCATTCCATGTAATGTTATGGTGCAAGTTTCAGAATAGTCACTCAACTGGAAATCTCACGCTTAGCCTTAATTGCTAAAGTCTGTTGACACTACTTCTTTAAACAGTTTCATATAACTAGAAGTTGAATCGAACCTGCATACAGTGATTGTACTAATAACACAAGATGATAGCTTTAATTTTTCTGTTCTAATCTTTTTTCTGTAATAAGATCAGTTACACCAACGCAGCATTGTGTAATAATGATCAGTTTGTTTACATGTGGAGCTAGGTTTTTACAATATGAGGAATGAATAGGAAATGAAACCCCCACAGCCAGGTTGTTCTCCGTTATCTTTGTCAAAGATGGCCAAAGTCTTGTTCATTGTTTGTTAAAACCTAAATTTAAATGAATGATAACTTATGGTTAAGGAGGAATTTAGCCCCTATATAACAGTTTTATGGTAAGGAAACAAAATGCAACATTTTAAAAAGTAAAGTCAGTTTAAATACTTGCAATGCCTATCAGAGTTATAATCTGGTGTTAAAAGTGCTCTAGGAATGATACAATGCTGATCATACAGCTGGAGTGAACTGCACTAGTGTGTTTTAGCCAATTAGTTTAAAGACCTTCGGTAGTTCAATTCTGGACATCCATTTAAAAGAGGTGTATTGCGGTGTAATTTGGAATAGATTTATTTTTGTATCATTAAAGGTTGTATTACATTTTGCGATATCCCATAGTCATCTTTTCTCAATAACATTTCAGTTCTAGACTACAGTGCGTACAATTCATTGTGAACTTCTTTATTTTACATGGATTTAATTGGAATTTTCTGTGTGGAATTTTGTGCCCTTTCACAGGTAATTTCCTGTACTTTACATGTAAACTTTTAATGTCAATAACCATTGGCATTGATGGTTGATTGCAACCATATGAAGCTGAACAGTTGGTTTACTGTTACAGGTAAAAACTGTTGACATGATATTTACTGTTACTGGTAAAAACTGTTGACAGGTGGTTAACTGTAAATGTACAGGTAATACTGTTGACAGGTGGTTAACTGTAAAGGTAAAGGTAATACTGTTGACAGGTGGTTAACTGTACATGTACAGGTAATACTGTTGACAGGTGGTTAACTGTAAATGTACAGGTTATACTGTTGATGGGTGGTTAACTAAATTTACAGGTTATACTGTTGATGGGTGGTTAACTAAATTTACAGGTTAACAATATTGGCAGGTAGTTTACTGTAACTTACAGGTAAAAACTGTTGTTTTCTGTAACAAATATTATTGACAGGTGATTGATTCACTGTAAATTTACAGGTAAATATTGTTGATAGGTGGTTTAGTATTACTGTATAGATAAATACTGTTCATAGGTAGTTAATCATTACTGTAGGGTAAATGCAGAGGTGTACTGTCAATGTCGAGGGTAGTTGTCATTACTTTAACAGGGTTTTAGTATAGTTGGTATGATATCCAACTCTTACTACAAACGAGTGGAGTGTTCTGAAGCTTGCATCCTTCCATACTCGTGATCAATACAGTGTCAGTGGTTTCTCCAGATCTGTACAGAAATTTGCAATTGTTCTTTTGATGTACAGAGAATATTTTTATGGCAATGTTGAAATATGAAATAAAATATGAAAAATGCATCAAACAAAAATAATAAAAGTAAAATATTAATGATGTTCAGTGTTATTTGTATACAAAAACTGAATGGGTAGATAGTAATAAGCTGCTAGAAGAGGATTTTCCTAACAATGATGTTAAAAAAAAATTAAAAAAAATCAAAAATGTTTTTATTTTCTTATAAAGACAATTTTCTTTTATAGCAGCCACATTTTATTATCTCCCCATAAATGATATAAACAGTGTACAGGAATTCCACGCGTTGTGTTGGATTAAAGTTCACTTTTTGTGTCGCCTGCGAAAAGCTGGTGACTCATAGGTATTGCTTTGTCGGCTGTGGCGGCGGCGGCATCATCCGAACAGAGGTTTTCGTGCGATAACTTGAGTTTCCTTGGGCCGATCAAACTCAAACTTCATGCAGTGCTTCCTTACCAAAAGTGCTTGATTGGGATTGCTTTTCAGGTCCAAAGGTCAAGGTCACTGTTACTATAAATAGAAAATCTGTTTTTGTGCGATAACTTGAGTTTTCTTGGGCCGATCCAACTCAAACTTCATGCAGTGCTTCCTTAAAACTTCCCAGAATAACAGATTATATAACAAAATGATGCCATCCAAAAACATAATCTATGATTATTGCTTACTTTGAACATTATTTCTTGAAATGAAAAGTGTATCTATTTCTTCGTAATCTCCAAGCTTCCTGCGCAGGCGACACATCCACTTCCGTGGAATTCTTGTTCACCTTTACCTATTAAGGTTATGTATCACTTGACTGTTATTTGCACCACTTTTAACAGAGTTCCACACTTTTGAATTTTTAGCCCACCATCATCTGATGGTGGGCTATTCAAATCACCCTGCGTCCGTGGTCCGTTGTCCGTCGTCCGTCGTCCGTCCGTAAACAATTCTTGTTATCGGTATTTCTCAAGAAGAACCAGAGGGATCTTTCTCAAATTTTATATGCAGGTTCCCTTGGTCCTTAGCTGTGCAGGGCAACTTTTGAGACTGATCGGATAAACAACATGGCCGACAGGCAGCCATCTTGGATTTTGATAGTGAAAGTTTGTTATCGCTATTTCTCGAGAAGTACCAGAGGGATCTTTCTCAAATTTTATATGTAGGTTCCCCTTGGTCCTTAGCTGTGCAGGGCAACTTTTGAGACTGATCGGATAAACAACATGGCCGACAGGCAGCCATCTTGGATTTTGATAGTGAAAGTTTGTTATCGCTATTTCTCAAGAAGTACCAGAGGGATCTTTCTCAAATTTTATATGTAGGTTCCCCTTGGTCCTTAGCTGTGCAGGGCAACTTTTGAGACTGATCGGATAAACAACATGGCCGACAGGCAGCCATCTTGGATTTTGATAGTGAAAGTTTGTTATCGCTATTTCTCAAGAAGTACCAGAGGGATCTTTCTCAAATTTTATATGTAGGTTCCCCTTGGTCCTTAGCTGTGCAGGGCAACTTTTGAGATTGATCGGATAAACAACATGGCCGACAGGTAGCCATCTTGGATTTTGATAGTGTGGGTTTGTTACCGCTATTTCTCCGGAAGAACTAGAGGGATCTTTCTTAAATTTTATATGTAGGTTCCCCTTGGTCCTAGCTGTGCAGGGCAATTTTAGAGACTGATCGGATAAACAACATGGCCGACAGGCAGCCATCTTGGATTTTGATAGTGAAAGTTTGTTATCGCTATTTCTCGGGAAGTACGGGAGGGATCTTTCTCAAATTTTAAATGTAGGTTCCCCTTGATCCCTCGTTGTGTATGTTATATTTTGAGACTGATCATAAAAACAAAATGGATTAAAAGAAGAACTAAACAGATCTTTCTCATATTGCAATGATCGATTCTATTTCTTTCACATTAAGTACTGTACTAGTAAATATGTGAAATGACAAACTCACTTTGAAGGTTGGCTTTCATACACATCAGTATTAAGTTTAGATCAAAAGTTACCTCAAGGTGCATTTACTGTAAAGGGATCTTTCTCAAACAGATTAGAGGAAAGAAGAGAAAAGATCGAACTGACAAAGAACTAATGAAGATGGTACAAAGGTGGGCGCCAAGATCCCTCTGGAATCTCTTGTTTTCTGTAGAAATGAAATGATTTGTTCCATATTTGATTTGAAGGGGCCTTGTGGAAACAGAACAAATTTGTATAAATGGTGGATCTGACCCCCACCCCCACCACAGGCTAGAGGGTTTGGGTCCAATAGGAGAAATGGAGGTAAATACTTTAAATTACTACTATTCGTGAACGAATGTATGGATTTTGATAACATTTGGTCTGGAGACTAATTGGATGAATGCGATCCAATGTTGTATAAATGGAGGCAATGGCTCTCCTGGGGCCAGAGAAGCAAGGCACAATAAACCCAAAAACGAACAACACATGTTATATAATTGTAATAGCCAGGTGAGCGATACAGGCCCTTTGGGCCTCTTGTTTTAACAACCATCAGTTTAATGTGTACGGTATCCTATCGTTAACTATAACAAATAAATATATAATGCAACTTTAAATCGCATGTGTAAGGTAGCAAACATCCTTAACGCTAAAAGAAATCGTGGGTATGATGTACAAGTTAGCAAAAATACTTGTTAAGAACAAATAGTAAGAATCCTCTTGTACACAAATCAAGTTATGCTGGTTATTATGGCATATCTCCTGTCTCTAAATTTGTAAAATATGTGGCTAAATATAGTTACTCTGCAATTGCAAGTACACTTTGCTCTATCATAACGGGTATAGCTCATTGATTAACAGCTACAAAGTTCACAGATCTTCCATTGAGATTAAATTGAATTACTGCATCTATTTCTTTTCGTAATCAAACGTAAAGGGCAAAGTCGTTACTGTCATGACACGTAAAGTTGTTAAACCTTCTGGTAAACACTTCGTTGCCATTACATGTATGTGTTACACTTTAGCTTTCGTTATCGTGCCACATGGGATTAAGTGCTTGCAGAAATGCATTGAAACTGTCATTCAGGGGTCTGAAACTTAATAGGATCAAAAATATGATTTATATTTTTTGCAAATCAAATATAGATTATAGCAGCTCATTGTTATTGTTAGATTTTTAGGTCACCTGAGCTTTGCTCAAGTGACCTATTCCAATCGCTTTTCGTCCGTCGTCGTCCGTCGTCCGTCGTGCGTCGTGCGTAAACTTTTACATTTTCAACTTCTTCTCAAGAACCAGTGGATGGATTTTTTTCAAACTTGGTCAGAATCATCCTTGGTAGATGAGGCTTCAAAATTGTAAAATTGGGATTCCTACCCCCACCCCTGGGGCCAGGGCGGGGCCCCAAAGGGAAAATTATCCAATATTTCAAAAATCTTCTTCTCCAGACTCAGAGGTACTACAGTGATTTTCTCTACGTGGAAAGAAAGATCATCAGGGGCTTTACTTAAATTGTAAATTTCAGGACCCCCGAGCTATCCGTTCTCCCTTGGGGAGGGGGTAAAGTTTACTATAGTTTATATAGGGAAATAACACTTTTGGGTATATTTTGACAACTTTCTGTAGGAAATTATTTTTACTTGGTGAGAATTATCCTTGGAGGTAGATGGTTTCAAATTGTAAAATTGAGATTCCTACCCCGACCCCTGGGGCCAGGGCGGGGCCCCAAAGGGAAAATTAATCAATATTTCAAAAATCTTCTTCTCCAGACTCAGAGGTACTACAGTGATTTTCTCTACGTGGAAAGAAAGATCATCAGGGGCTTTACTTAAATTGTAAATTTCAGGACCCCCGAGCTATCCGTTCTCCCTTGGGGAGGGGGTAAAGTTTACTATAGTTTATATAGGGAAATAACACTTTTGGGTATATTTTGACAACTTTCTGTAGGAAATTATTTTTACTTGGTGAGAATTATCCTTGGAGGTAGATGGTTTCAAATTGTAAAATTGAGATTCCTACCCCGACCCCTGGGGCCAGGGCGGGGCCCCAAAGGGAAAATTAATCAATATTTCAAAAATCTTCTTCTCCAGACTCAGAGGTACTACAGTGATTTTCTCTACGTGGAAAGAAAGATCATCAGGGGCTTTACTTAAATTGTAAATTTCAGGACCCCCGAGCTATCCGTTCTCCCTTGGGGAGGGGGTAAAGTTTACTATAGTTTATATAGGGAAATAACACTTTTGGGTATATTTTGACAACTTTCTGTAGGAAATTATTTTTACTTGGTGAGAATTATCCTTGGAGGTAGATGGTTTCAAATTGTAAAATTGAGATTCCTACCCCGACCCCTGGGGCCAGGGCGGGGCCCCAAAGGGAAAATTAATCAATATTTCAAAAATCTTCTTCTCCAGACTCAGAGGTACTACAGTGATTTTCTTTACGTGGAAAGAAAGATCATCAGGGGCTTTATTTAAATTGAAAATATCAGGACCCCGAGCTATCCGTTCTCCCTTGGGGAGGGGTTAACGTTTAATATAGTTTATATAGGGAAATAACACTTTTCGGTATATATTTTATATATTTTCAGCAGAAAATTGCTCAAACTTAGTCAGAATCATCTTGGGTAAATGAGAGTTTTACTTTGTAAAATTAGGATTCCTGCCCCATCCCCAGGGGCTAGAGCGGGGCCCCAAAGGAAACATTTACCAATATTTTCAAATTCTTATCCATTGATGACATGACAAGTATTGTATTTCACTTAGTTTACATGCTGATTTCCACATCACATCTAAACAATAAAATAAAGCTACCAGTATCTATGATATAACTCAGGTGACCGCTAAGGCCCTTGGGCCTCTTGTTTTATAAGCACCTTGACATTTGTAAAGGGAACATTGATCACATATCTACAGAAGTTCAAAACCAGCAGTGTTTTATGCTTGGAGGGAGAGGGGGAAGATGAATGTTATCACCAGCACCAGTGGGACACCAATGATACAATAACATGGACGGCCAAGGCAGACAAAATATACCGACCAAGATATGAATGTTAGACGTTTGGTAAGTATATGTAATGTCGAATGTTGTCAGCTGAGGATTTGAGAATTATAACAAAATAGCACGCCGTAAGGCGATACCGGTGTTTCAAACGATATAGATGTGTAAATTGCTGTAACATGCTGTTGAAATTTAATATTGTCAACTTTCATAATTTCCCTAGCTTAAATATATATGGAATATAAATATAACACGATATCAGGCAGCATTCTATTAATTGAATCTCGCGTGCATTCCTCTCCATATTACATGTATGCATATATGCATTCCCACAGCTCCAAGTGACGTGTCTATTAGTGTCGTTTTCACTGACCAATCCGCAGAGTGGCCCGGATGGTGAGATCAAATGTGACTCGCCCGATTTTCCACCTTCTTTCGATGAAAATGTCTTCAAGACTTCATTATCGAAGTATCCGAGGTAAGGTGGACTGGTGTGTACTTATCACTGCATACCGTTGTACTGTGAATTTTCGTTGGCAGAGGCATTTTCAATTTGAACTCAAGTGAGCGTAAAGGCCCCTTGGGCCTCTTGTTGATGGTATTTAGTTTTTGTATCATTGTTTTGTGGTATCATAATATAATTACGCAAATCAAAGTAATAATATATAATGTATTCATAATATTACGAAATATATTTAACGATCTATCATTTTGTGAGCTATTTCTGAAAATCACAACGATGTCAACGCACCAGCCATTACTATATAATTTTATATAGTACATTGTGTTGGATGACAGAGACATCTTCAACATTCATGACTTTTTTGACAATGGGAAAACTAGGGAAACATTTTTTTAAAAAGATCATCTCAATGTTTTTAAATGGGTTTAAATGTCTAAATTGTTTCAAATGCATGCTTGACTCAATGTACATATTATCTATTTTTAAAAATACTTGAGATAATGGCGTAGTATTTACTCTTCACGTCATTGCTAGTTCAGCGTTGACACTTTAATTTTGTGGACAGATGGTGTTTTATATTGGAAACGAGTGCCACAGCCTGGGTTGTCATTTGTTACTCTATGTAAGCGGGATTATTGTAAAACTTGATTCTGTGACGTTGCCAATGTTGAAAATGCTTGCTCGAAACGGTGAACTCGATATTGACGTTTACTGGTTTGACAGAGAAATCTTCGACGCGGGGCGCGGGATGAAGTCAAATGTCTAACTCAAGGTTTGTTTAAAACTGAGGTGTAACCTGGTGCTAATACGTCAAAAAAAATCGAGATTCGCCATGATAATTCACGAATGTTTATTTAAAAATTATTAAGAGTGATGTTTACAACATCTGAAATTGTCGCTAACGCAGTCAACAAACATTTAACTATATACATGTTCCAGAGTTTAAAGTAAAAATTCCAGATTAAAATTGGAAACTATCAATGTAATGGATGAGTTTGACTTCGCCTCGCCAGTTCCAATCCTACTGAAACAAGAAATCGACTCCGAACATTTTGCATAATTTCATATACTTACATTTGTGTTGCAGTCCCTCTAGATAACAGTACCAACTCAAAATGTTGTTACGATTCAATAAAAGCAAGTGTGTAGTAATATTAACAGTAATACATGTACCTTTATATGACCTCTGACCTCACTTTGTAAACACAAGTCACTCCCACCCCACTCACCAAAAACACCTATTTTATTTTGGGTTATCAACGGTTTAAAGTTTTTAACAGAACAGAACCAAATCACTGTCCTCTGCACTAGCGTCCGTTGCAAGTGGCGAAGCAGGTCAAATCCTCCCGGCTAGTCGGCCAGTCCCGGACACGGACTGAGTTTTTATAACTGAAATATATTATTTGGTTTGAAATGAAGATCTACTGTCAATTTTAAAGATAGTCAATGTATGTTAAACCTGCTGGTATGTACATTAAATGATTAAAAATATACAAAGTGGAACTATTTGTTTATTGCTCAACTGTGTATTTCGTCACCAATCTTTCCGGCGAATAAGACTGTTCAATTAATGTTGTTTTCAGGACGGTGTATTGCTTTTTTTACGTGAAAAAAAACTTTTTTAATTTCAAATAATAAAAGTGAATGTTATGGAACGTAAATATAAGGTTTGAAATGCATCTTTTTAACATTTATGAGGGTATGCAACACAAACGCGCATCATGGAATATGTTTGAACGGAACTGTGTTGCATACCCTGATAAATAATGAAAAGATGCATTTCAAACCTTATATTTAAGTTCCATTACATTCACTTTAAATATTTATTGTAACGTAACGTCATTTTTTTTCGACATTCTTGTTCGGTTCTAATTTTTGGGAAGTAAATCGAACAAGAATATCGGGGGAAATCATGAGTTAATATTTTGCAGAAAATATAATATGCATGTAAAGAACAATTGTAACTATGTAATAAAAGCAATACCACACAAATGTCTTTATCTGACGCCTCGGGTTGTAATCGTTCCCGGTTTGATTGACGGCTGGATACCTTTCACTCGGACTAAAGCCCTTCCTGTAATAAACTCATACGCGCAATGCAAAATTCGTACATGTGTGTTATTGACTTTATATATATGCAGTCATCACAGACGCCAACAATATAATGTAAATATTCTCAACTTTCCGCCATTTACAAAACAAGCAATGTTTCTGATGCCGTTATTGTTTATGTAACATATTCCATTTAGTACTGCACCCTATGGCACTATTTTTCCAACGACAACATTGCTGATACGCTGTTTCAGTAATACATAGTATTCTTCGTACTCTCAAAATATGTATGTGTTTTATCTTTCAGCTGTGAAAATGTCCTGTTCTAGTGTAATATTTATTATATAAACAATATGAAAATCTTATTTTATTTTAAACATTACTTACCAGATACCATGTGCATATTGATCGTGTTGCATATTTATTCAATAATAAAATCTCAACTAATAATTTTAGATACCTTTCAAACATCTTTAGAGAGCCTCGTCAGACATTGCAGTATCTCACTGAGGGTTCAGAAATTTCTCTGGTATATCTTCATCGTATATGGTGTTTTTACTTTCCCCATCCAATCAAAATATGCTCGAAGAAAAAGTAATTAGCATTTTAAAATGTTTTGTCCTGATTTGCACATTACCTCTCCCATCTGAGGCTGATTGTAAGCCATACTTTAATATTCCCGTGATGTTATCGTCATATTTCCTAAACTACATGCTCATTGTGATTACCTAAGGGTACAAACTTGGATATACATGAGCCTGTGAACTTGATATTACGAAAATGAATCTTAAATGTTGCGATTGCGGAGTTTTATTGTGAACCTTATATCATTTGTGAAATTAACATCGTGAACTTGAAACCGTGACGTTGACATAGTAATATGTTGACGTTGACATACATAAATGTAGTAACATGTTGACGTTAACATATACACATATTGACGTTAACATAGTAACATTTTGACGTTGTTGTTTAAATAGTAACATTTTGACGTTGACTTAGTAACATTTTGACGTTGATGTTGACATAGTAACATTTTGACGTTGACATAGTAACATATTCACGTTGACATAGTAACATTGTGACGTTGACATAGTAACATTGTGACGTTGACATAGACATATATAACGTTGACATAGTAACATTGTGACGTTGACATAGAAACAAATAACGTTGACATAGTAACATATTCACGTTGACATAGTAACATTGCGACGTTGACATAGTAACATTGGGACGTTGACATAGTAACATATTCACGTTGATATAGTAACATTGTGACGTTGACAGTTACATTTTGACGTTGACATAGTAACATATTCACGTTGACATAATAACATTGTGACGTTGACATAGTAACATTGTGACGTTGACATAGTAACATTGTGACGTTTTAACATTAAGTGCTTCTCATATTGTTTATTATTTATATAGGGTTACATATTTTGTGTGTGTGGTATTTATAGTGCGTGTTATTTAAAACGTGTGTTGTATTATCACGACAGGACAATGATTCAGCGTCTGAGTAACCAGGATATGCTACGGTCATCTATCTTCTGGACATCACGGTACAAACTACACCAAAACAAAATGTAGGTAATATGATGATTAATACGAATCAAATTATTTAAATAAAAAAGGTTGAGGTCATAGCTCTAAATGTAATCATTGAAGACCTTAAAATAAAACAATGATGTCGATGACCCTTCAAAAAACTTGGACATGCATGAATGAAATTGTATAAATATTAAACAATGACAGTGATACAACTATAGTACCCGCGATATGACCAGGCTTATTATTGGTTCTATAATGTATCTGTATTCAGGGAGGCGCTTACCAAGGAGGCACTCTCCCCTCAACCTGCTGCTAAGGCCACACCCAACCTTGACGTCATGTGTTCCACTCATCCTCGAAACTCCAGCATCAGAAACACGTACGTCTATAGGGGACAGGACTGCTGGGTCCTGCGGCCCTGGTGGGGTACCGACCTCCACTGGGTGGAGTGTGACAGGTAAGGCCTGGTGAAGTAAGTAAAGGGGAGCGCCCACAGTGTCTTATAAATAAGACTAATACATACGTGTCCCATCTACGAGAGATAAGCACTGATATTATAGGTACAACTGATAAACTCACAGATGGTAAAACTGTTTTAAAGTATTTTTAATACATTGGGAAAATAATGTTAACGTATTGTCTGCTGCTTGCCCGAGAATCTCCCATTAATAGACGAGAGTTTAATTTGGCACTGACCAGACATTTACCCGTGAACGTCATGGCAACAGTTCACGTCATGTGGCGGCTGGACCAGTGCTTAGGTTTGGTTAGGTTTAATTTCGTTTAACGTCCTATTACCAGCTAAGGTCATTTAAGGACGTCTGGACCAGTGTATTAGCCTCTACCATTTCGGTTTTATCGTCTCATCGCGCTTTGCATTAAAAGCAGTTTTGCTACTACTTATTGAAAACAAATCACTTTATGCAAAGGATTTTCTTTTTTTTTATATAAAAAATAAATAAATAAATATGTGAACATCAATTATAGAACGAATCCTTGAAGATTAATTACACATTGACATCATCGTTGGGACTGTTAGGTTCGTCCTATCTTGTCTTTCGATTGTCCAGCTTTACTTTGGTATAAAACCTGGTCTAGTTAGTGCATTGCTTGCGTTCTGCTTTGATTTAGATGATGACCTCATGCTTTATTGTCGCCGTTTGAAATCTCCTGATCTAGATTCCGTGTGTATAACGAGCCAACAATGCTATGATGCCTTTGCGTAGTTTGATTTTGGCCTGTCCTGTTGTAGTATGATTTAGGCCTGTCCTGTTGTAGTATGATTTGGGTCTGTCCTGTTGTAGTGTGGTTTGGGCCTGTCCTGTTGTAGTATGATTTTGGCCTGTCCTGTTGTAGTATGATTTTGGCCTGTCCTGTTGTAGTATGATTTGGGCCTGTCCTGTTGTAGTGTGGTTTGGGCCTGTCCTGTTGTAGTATGATTTGGGCCTGTCCTGTTGTAGTATGATTTTGGCCTGTCCTGTTGTAGTATGATTTGGGCCTGTCCTGTTGTAGTATGATTTTGGCATGTCCTGTTGTAGTATGATTGGGGCCTGTGCTGTTGTAGTATGATTTTGGCATGTCCTGTTGTAGTATGGTTTGGGCCTGTCCTGTTGTAGTATGGTTTGGGCCTGTCCTGTTGGAGTATGATTTTGGCCTGGCCTGTTGTAGTATGATTTGGCCTGTCCTGTTGCAGTATGATTTGGGCCTGGCCTGTTGTAGTATGGTTTTGGCCTGTCCTGTTGTAGGATGATTTGGGCATGTCCTGTTGTAGTCTGGTTTGGGCCTGTGCTGTTGGAGTATGATTTGGGCCTGGCCTGTTGTAGTATGGTTTCGGCCTGTCCTGTTGTAGGATGATTTTGGCCTGTCCAGTTGTAGTATGATTTTGGCACGTCCTGTTGTAGTATGATCTGGGCCTGTCCTGTTGTAGTATGATTTGGGCCTGTCCTGTTGTAGTATGATCTGGGCCTGTCCTGTTGTATGATTTTGGCCTGTCGTGTTGCTATCGGAAACTACTCTAATTCATTACTGCATTCTATCCCTGATTCAATCTCGACAAACAATTACATCTGGTATTGTGTCAACAATTTCAGATTATTTAATGTTGGAGATTAGCCAACACACCACACACGCAGATATCCGTTATTTCTCGTTGGTTCGTTAGTACAACGTGGATGTGTACTTATGGATAATGGCGGGGTAAGCTGTAAAGAAGGCCTATAGAAACACACTCTTGTTGTAATCAAAGTGAGGAAATATTATTGTTTGTTTTGTTATTGAAAATGTGTTACAGCAACTGTTTCCGATAACTGACAAGTATAAGCATACAGCCGTAGGCACCCTCCAGTTCCAGTTTATTATCAATGATATCCTTTATCCCGGCTGTTTTCGCGGTAGTTATGTAACAGTACGTAAACGCTATACAGTCCAGAGCGTGTTTGCACTACATGCAAGGAAGAGGTATTTATCCAATAGTAGACGATCACACGAACAATGAAAATGTTGTCACGTCAACGCGCCATTTATAATACATAACTGTGGCAAGCCAACTTAACATTTATTCAAGAAGCAATGTCGAACACAATCTAATTAAAATTATATCTTCACATCGCTCCCGTTTACTGATATGTCGCGTTGAAGATCTAACAACATCCCGTAGAGGGTCACGTCAGAGGTCAACATGAATGTATTATCGTATTTATAACAAGCCAATCAAAGCGCGACATAACTCTTTCTTTAAACCAATCAGAAAGCAGGACCTGTAGCATTTAATGCAGACACCTCGTAGCCAAAAATCCACTTTTTCGTCTGGTCCAGTGATAGTTTGAATATTGCGAAGCCTGTCATTGATTAATTTTAGTTTCAGGTTGTTAAACTTTTAAACGACAACATCACCAGAAGAGGAAGTCTCTGTTATTTCAAAGCAAAATCCACAAATTGTACAAACGTTGTCTTGTAGATAGACACGGCGTGGTGTCATGGGCGCCGCCATTTTCGATGCTCATTTGACACCTCTCGGTCTTTTATCATAGCAAGTGTGTTCCGAAATCATTACATCATCACTTACAGAAATGCGTAAGCTCTCATCTGATTGGTTAATGCAAAGGTCGCCTGAACATGACCCTCTACGGGATGTTGTTAGATCTTCAACGCGACATATCAGTAAACGGGAGCGATGTGAAGATATAATTTTAATTAGATTGTGTCGAACACAATTTTAATAAAACTATATCACATATCTTATATAGTATATGGCAGATCTCTTATATACTATAAAAGATATATAGAAATTAAATGAGATGCTATATAAGATATCTTATATAGGAACACGAGATTTTAACAAAATGTCAAAATCAAGTCTCCCCATTCGGAATATCTCCAGGATCTAGTTCTATAAAAGCCAGTAGGGTGGCTGTCGACGTTTGGTCCTGTCGCCAAAGTGTCGGAGCCCACCTCAAGGGGGCGTGGATTGGCAGCCTCTGATTAAGACGTGCTTCGAAAAAATCTTTTTTTTTCGGAGAAGAAATAATATCTCATTTTTAAAGTCACGACATCTCATTCTATATACGATATATCATCCAGTAACCAGAAACCAAGCCTATATTATTGACTTTTCTAGAATTAGATCCTCGAGAAATTCCGGGTTTGGGGACTTGGTTTTTGACTTTATAAGATATCTTATGTAGTGACGAGATATTACATTATATAAGATATCTAATGCAAAAAAAAAAGAAGAGATATCTAATATAACATCTCATTTAATTTCTATATAAGATATCTTATAAAGTATATGAGATATCTCAGATATTAAATAAGATATCTTATACAGAAAATTCAATAAGATATCTTATACAGCTTATAAGATATCTTACATAACATCTCATTTAGTTTCTATGTAAGATATTTTATATATTATATAAGAGATCTAGTATATATCATATAAGCTATCTCATATACTACATAATATATCTTATGGAGTTTTATGAAATTCGGGATCGACATTGCTCCTTGGATAAATGTCCAGTTGGCTCGCCATATATAACATAATTTCCCCAATCGTCGTGGCGAAATAACGAAAAAGCGAATAGGCGAAAAACATTAATCACTCGACATAAGAAATGATAAAGCGCATTGTGACAATTATTAATGCAGACAGTTTTGGTCTGTGAGGGATTAACCAGTCATGGTTCCTTTTACAAACTTCCAGGTACTGTAAGAATGGCGGGCTCGACTTCACACGCTTCTGGTACGTGTGTATCCCTGGAAACAAACGTGCGACTCAGTTCTGGGTGTACTGTCCCGTGACCCGGGAAATCAAGTTTATTGTGGAATGGCTTCCCCAGGCCTGTCTCTGTCATAGATACAAGTGCTGACTAAAACCAAAGGCGGTCAAGTTCATCAGCACTGGCTGACCGGAGGAGAATCCTCGGGGAGAGAAGATTCGACTGTTTACGTGCACAGTAAAACACATTTTGACACTTTGTGGATAACTGAAAATGTTACTCTAGATGTATTTACTCCCAAGGAAGCGAATGTATCACTATGTAAGCCCAGTAGTTCAACCCATCACGCCTTTTACTAGTCTTACATACTGTGTTCGATAAAATACATAAGTCATGGCTTCTTAATGTCAGGATGAACATTGACATTAAAATACAGAAATGTACAAGCGTTGAGGCAAGCTTTTGGATCAGACAAATGTGTGATTGGTCAATATGGAAATCCAATGATTCTATATAAACCGTTGAGTACACACAGTAGTATTATAGCAGGTAGTTCATATCTTAAACGTTCGGATCAACATACAGTATATGAATGACATGCAAACATAAGTGACGAAGGAAGACAATTTCACGACTCGTGCCCTGTCCGAGGCCTCGAACTCACGACCTACGGCACCTAACCGCTCAGACTATCATACCACCAAACTGTTTCACCTTCTTAGAATAAAGAAGGTTTCGATGATACGTATATCATTGTAATTATGGTTATTCATTGACTAGAATTTGTAGCAAGAATACTGCAACGTTTTTCACTTTCGTTCAAAGGACATACTTAGCAGGAAATCAACGGAATGTCTGATACATGTGGTTGGATCAATTTTACAGCCCACTAGTTTAGTTCCTCTGCCCGTATGATTGTTGCACATATCCCTCTGTGTGGTGGGCCGGGACATTTGATGTAGCTCCCGTTCTGTGATTAAAGATTATTGTTGAGAGTACTTTGACGCGAAAAACACCATAGATGTTAAGATATCCCCGGCCTATAGCAGATTAACATCTTGCATGTGACTGTAAGAGCAGCTGACATATGAATATCAATGCAATTACCGATATCACTGGTGTTGCCAGACTGAGGCGAGATCTAACGTATATATCGGTAGTGCTGTGTAACTTAGCATTGCTTTTATCAATGGTAAACAGTTACACAGCAGGATTGTTTTACTTTTTGTGTGTTTTTAAAATTAAATTTCAAAATAAATATTGCAATCTGCCGTAAAACGTAAACTATTAAATTCATATATATCGACAGCAGGACAGGTGAACGCTAGGTATCGAGAACACAAGAGGTGATGAACAACGCGAATTCAAGAACGTTAGGGACCAAAGGGACACACACAAACAAATGATATATATATGAAGCCAAACGAAAAACGGATGCGAAATTTAGTTGAACATGATGCTCATGAGCATATTGTTGATATAATATGCACGATGGCGGTCTGTTTTCTGATTAAAGAGCTAATTTTTGAGTCTTTTTGTTACGTTTTGTTTGTTAGTAGTATAGTAACACTATAGATAGCAACCCTTCACTCATTGTTATTGGTTAAAATCACTGTTGTCAATACAATCATGGTTGATTTGCGCATATTTAACGTGAATGTGCGGAGCCTCGGGAATCGCCGTTATCGTCTCTTTACCGCCGAGTAATTTCAACAGCTTATCCTAATTACCATTTAAATGGATTACAAATCAAGCCATTTGCGCTCTTATGAAGTTGATATTTCAAAGACCAGTGTCTGTTTGCTGACAAGGATCCGTGTTTGAACTGTAATTTGTTTTACCAAAATACATACAGGGGTCAAAGTTAAAACCTTTAAACGACTTCTTCTGATTAAACTTTTTTCAAACATAAACATTTCAATTGATTATCATATTTTATTTTAGACCTCCTTTAATATGGAAAATAATCTCCAAAGACTATATCGACTCGTCAATTTATAAAAAAAAAGTCATGATCTAAAACTGCAATATTCATTGAGTTTAAAAGCAAGAAAAAACGTACTGCTGAATAGTGCAAAGTGAAATATCTGCATTTGATTTGAAAGTTGCAAGTGTAAAAATTGTTTTGAAAGTATGGTTTGTTTCCATGTTGCATGTTTTCTGAACATTTAGGTGTCCGACTGTTCACCGGACAACCTAGTTTGTACATGCAGTAGTATACAATCTGTATGGTTACCTTGGCGAATAGTCCCAAATAATCTTGAATACGTCACAAAAAGTTTGTAGCATTGATAACCAATGGAAGAACAGCAGAGCAGGTGTTATGTGGTCTCTTTGTCGCGTGCCCACAACACAATGGGAAGCAATATTTACAGTCTCTGAAGACACTTTTAAACAGAATACCAGTGAATGCCTAGAGTAGCATGTTTCTATTGTTGGGTACGGATTTCACAAATGCATACATTGTATATCAGTGTCTTGCAAGACTATAACGTCAGGAGGTGAAGAATGCAGCCAATATTTCTGACATGGAAGTATCGTGATTTAGTGACTAATGGCTCGTGGTTCTCTATTCTGGTAACTATTAAATAAGACAATTAGTTCCTTACATATGGCGCGACCTTTGTGGCGCTAGTATTATCTCAAACGGAATGGAGTTTGGCTCATTTACTGGTGCTTTCGGAGTAAATACAAGAAGTTCTATTATTTCCCGGTTCAATATCAACATTAATGCGATATGCACATGCATTTGTCATTAGATCGGTTTATTTACAATGACACTCAACAACTGGAAATGTAAACTCCCAGAGGACGGGCAGTAACATCCATGGTCTATAAATATTGATATATATGGCGTCATCTAGTTTGAGTTATTCACAGCAAGTAATGCTGTCTACGCACGAAGGCATGTCACATCACATGGCCTCTAACTAACCCAACGTGCGTGTAGGTGGCTTTAACTGAAAACTCATACGAAATTCAGTAGATACTGTAGTGTTATAATTCTAATTGTGGTCAAGAACAATGCTCTTGTGTAGGAACTGTGACATGTTTTGTCTGTTTCCCATAATGTCATTCTTATACACAAATCTCTATACGGACGGCTCGTAAAGACGAGTTGTTGGCCTTAAATTTGTAGAAGCTGTCTGCAGATAAATTTTGTAGTGACTAGATGTATATATTTCGATAACGTTTACACTTACTGATATGTTTATATGTTTGTATAGGGTGTAAAACATTCTGTATGACTACAAACGTCGGAGAGGTAGAAGACAACTTTCTAATCAGACAAGACTGATAATCATATATAATTGTTTACAGCATATCTACAACACGTTTACAATATGCTGTATTTTATACTTGGACCACATGTCGTTTGGAACACCTCTTAACTTGATCGCGCCAATTGATAATATTATTTTAGCTTTAACAAAATTGGGTATTGTCCACCTCGGTATATGGCACACCTCTATTTCTCACTAACAAAATACTGAACTTAGGGCTCCTCCATCTGTTTACATCACGTGGTTACATACTTAATTAATATCTGACTCATCTGTAAAATGACAACTTTGTCAATATAATGATTTGTATTGTGTGAATAGAATACACCATTTGAGCACATGTGTCTAGCAGGTCTGTAGTTACACGTTAAATTACCTCTGTACTGTTATCGATAATCACTTTCTAGTGTTGATTTAACTAAATGGTATGGACTGTAAGCTTTAGCTGTACTCGTTTTAATCGGGACACTTATCGACAAGATGAAGTTTTCTAGCTTTGTCTTCTAAAACACTTTATTGCTGTCAGTATTTCAGTCTCTCTAAATAGACGCACTGTCCACACTGTTGATCTTATCTGAACTAAGGTGTGGCCTCCATGTCGTCAAAATTAAAGAGACACATGGTTGAAATAATCAGAAAAAATGTGTGACACGAAGGTGGATCTTATTAGAACAGAATTGGTTTTGATCTCCATTTGAACCCATTAGAGAGAAAACGCGGCCTCAATGTTGACATAAGGCACGGTGGTTTAGCGGTGGGACGCCGGGCTCTTGACCGGAGGGTTGCGATTCGAGTCGAGTCACGTCACAGCACTGTGCTGTATCTTTGAAAAAGATTTTCAAGTTTCAAGTTCTTTATTCACCAAAAGTCTTAAGACTTTGAAAAAGATACTTTCAGTACGTGGCTGGGCAGTGCTAGAATTGTTGAATGCTAGCTGTAAGCACCGAAATGGCAGCACCTGCTGTATGCTCCACAGGGATATATTGGCTTGTTGTAAAGTCACTATAACCACGGATAATAATTTTTGAACCACTTTGAGACGACCTACAAACTTGGTTGTGATAAAGCGGTATAAAAGAACCTCGAATTATTATTATTATATTATTTATATCATTATCATGACATATATATGGTGACATGATACGGGAGATTTTACCTAAAGAGTTCTAGGATTAAAGTGGCTTGACCTTAATGTTGCCATCACCAGAGATATGTTGTGGCTTCAATGTTGACATAAACAGAGATGTTGTGGCTTCCATGTTGACATAACCAGAGAGAAGTTGTGGCTTTAATGTTGACATAACCAGAGAGATGTTGTGGCTTCAATGTTGACATAGCCAGGGAGATGTTGTGGCTTCAATGTTGACATAACCAGAGAGATGTTGTGGCTTCAATGTTGACATAACCAGAGAAATGTTGTGGCTGCAATGTTGACATAACCAGAGATATGTTGTGGCTGCAATGTTGACATAACCAGAGAGATGCTGTGGCTTTAATGTTGACATAACTAGAGAGATGCTGTGGCTTCAATGTTGACATAACCAGAGAGATGCTGTGGCTTTAATGTTGACATAACTAGAGAGATGCTGTGGCTTCAATGTTGACATAAACAGAGATATGCTGTTGCTTCAATGTTGACATAACCAGAGAGATGTTGTGGCTTCAATGTTGACATAACCAGAGATATGTTGTGGCTTCAATGTTGACATAACCAGAGATATGCTGTTGCTTCAATGTTGACATAACCAGAGAGATGTTGTGGCTTAAATGTTGACATAACCAGAGAAATGTTGTGGCTTCAATGTTGACATAACCAGAGAGATGCTGTGGCTTCAATGTTGACATAACCAGAAAGATGCTGTGGTTTCAATGTTGACATAACCAGAGAGATGTTGTGGCTTCAATGTTGACATAACCAGAGATATGTTGTGGCTTCAATGTTGACATAACCAGAGAGATGATGTGGCTTCAATGTTGACATAACCAGAGAGATGTTGTGGCTGCAATGTTGACATTATTGAAGTAAATGTATGATCTTGATTCTGACTGAAGTAGCGAGAAAGTGTGGTCTTAAGTTTGTCACAAATAGAGAGCTGTGTGGTAAAGGTTGACGTGATTAGAGGGATATGTGACCTCGGAGCTGCTATATGTATGACTGTAAAGGTTGACGTGATTAGAGGGATATGTGACCTCGGAGCTGCTATATGTATGATTGTAAAGGTGGTATCTCAAAGTGTGAGATAATTGGAAGAGATGTGGCCCCAGTTTGAACATAATAAGAGAATATGTCTTTACGGGTACAGTCTACATTTAAATATTGCGAAGTACTGGTTTACGTTTGTTACAACAAACTATCTGTTATTTGATTGACATAATTCATACGAGATTATGTAACGAGTTCAACACTTCCATTGAGCGAGTTTTGAAGGGTCTAATGTAATGGTATATCGAAAAGTGTTTCGCAAAACTCTTATGACATGGCAACAAAACCAAGATAATTTCATCAAACTAAGTTATACATGGAAATCATCATCCCATATGACTTGCCCTTATCATAACGTCATAAATGAGACTCGTATCTACCAAATGGAAATCATATTTGTCTTACAGTATTAGCAGTTAAGCTGCTTTCACTTGGCATTAATAAGGAATAGTCAGTGAAGGAAGTTATTACCTTTGTATGCCAACTGAAAGCAGTTTAATTCTTATATATACCGTTGTTGGAGTCAATTAATTAATATCCTCATTAAGTTTTAATTAATGTTGGTATCATGAATCCTTGTTTAATTAAAAGAACAACCATCATCAAGGGAAAGCAAGTGGTGTATATGTGTATGTGTGTTATGGAATGGTTGTGAGTGTATATGAGTGTGTCTTGTTGATCTATGTACTAAATCTATGCTTCATGTCAATCAATACCGGATAGGAGAAGACTTATATAGGCTAAGCCTGTTGTCTCATCCAATTGTGCAATTTGTTGTCCAATAAAATTTGTTGAAATAAAAAAAAAAAGCAAGTGGTATCCAAAGTTACAATTAGAACGCTCTAAATCAATCAATGACATTCATAGCTAGTATGAACGCCATATGAATTTTGTAGAGATATAAAGTGTCCATACCATATAGTGGTGTGCTACGTTATTGACAAATATATTGCACGATTTATCTTTTCGTCCAGGTGCTATTACTGATATGAATGTTTATTAGAGAACAAAACGTCTGAATTAAACCTTAAATTTAATAACATGTTTTAATAAACGACACTTTTATCATCTACGAGCGATTACAATTTAATTTCGTAGTGCTGTTTTAGAAGGCGTTAAAAGTTATAAGTAATCGACCCGTCCACGGGGTCATACAGATGTCACATCAGAGCGACACTAACGCTCATTTTGTTTAACGTTAATAATCCATCGGTGAAATCGATTTCGTATGATGAACACTCCACGAGAGATGTTAGCTGTAATCCCAGGCAATGGTCTGGAAAATGTTCTGTCGTCACATGTAATATTAGTGTTAAGTAACGTGAATAATTCATCTTCGATACATCAGGCACTATAGCCGGAAATGAAATTTTCAACGAAAATTGTAGTTCAACATTTTATGTGACTATTAATTCTGTACCATGTATGGATACTTCTCGGATGTAGGTGTCGACACTTCTGCTGCCGTCCACGCAGGGACTGTCAATCTAGTTAATCCCGTTGTAACTCTAAATGACAGAGACTAATAGCATTTCAACAATGTAACCCGGAACCCATCTGTGCTTGGAGCTTTGCGCATCTCCTACCACTGCATGTCCGCGGTAAGTAAATAGTTAACGTTGCTTGCTACAGCAGAGTAAGGAAATAGTGACAATGTTTAATTTAAATATTTTTTTATATTTATTGATATTAATGACAACGTGTAATGTGACTCATTAGTAGAAAACGACTTAATGAACTTGGTTTTGAGAAGGATTGCTAAGTTGACAACGCAGTTTGTCGGTTTTGTCCGATACATGTAAACAATTCAATATGTATAGATCTGGTTTCCCATAGTATTTTATATCTGTATTCTTGGAAAAATACTCTTTTAATGACATCCAGTGTTACTTAGTTTGCATGACATCTGTGCCTGTTGTTTTGATCGAGTGAAATAGTTTTTATTTCTACTATCTATGATAGCTGATGTTGCTCGAATGTTCTATAACTTCATGCCATGTCCCTTATCGAACTCTGCATTGATCGCTGCAAAAATAACATCATTGTCGCATATTCCTCTTTTAATTTGTATTTTAACTTTTATCGCAGATCGAATTAAACAGTAAATTGAACAATTATTGCCCTTGTCGTATGCACTTGGATATATCATGTTTGATGACGACATTTTCTTCTTGGTTAGAACAAAGTCTAAAACGTATTATATTGACTATTCCACGCTATGTCTTTGATTCATGTATAGTTTAAATAGGTGCCTGTATTATCATGTTTTATACGTTCTCCCCTGCTGTTCCATGACTCTCTTTTCTCTCTCCAAATAACTGAAGTCTCCGTATAAACAACCTTTTACCCTTCCTAGTCACCTCCTTCAAGTCTTGTATGTTTTGTTATTAGTGGTGGCAGTTTATGAGTACGATCTATAAACTACTAAAATGTGTGACATCGTTTATACTTATTTTTACATAAGTCCTCAATTATGTTCACTTCTTCCACTATACTATTCCTGCTATACATTTGCTGGTTTCGGTTCTTCCACTATACTATTCCTGTTATACATTTGATGGTTTCGGTTCTTCCACTATACTATTCCTGCTATACATTTGATGGTTTCGGTTCTTCCACTATAATATTCCTGCTATACATTTGATGGTTTCGGTTCTTCCACTATACTATTCCTGCTATACATTTGATGGTTTCGGTTCACGCCTGAAATAATTTAAGATTACTTCAGGTTCTATAATCTGTTTTGCCTTTTTCACTTGATTCAATGATTCTTATTATATCCGGGTTCATATATTCAGTTATGACATATCTTTATTCCGTTGTTTGGCATTTGTTTATATTTTGAATTATTAATAGGTTTCTGCGCATTTTCACGACTATTTTTTTAATATATTTTTCATTTTAAATTCACTGATATTTTCCTGTGTTTGAAATATATCTCAAGGTTAATCTCGTGTCTTTATACAATATGAATTCAACTTACAGAAGTTCGATATACATGATAAACAACCAGCACTCATAGGGGGACATGTTCCCGTCTCCGTCACTTTTCCGATATTCCTGCTGTATACTTCATAGGGTATAATGTAATCTGATTTACTCATGTTCTATATCGGGTCTATTTTTCATCTAAATTATTCCTTTTATATCTGGTTTAATGTCATTAGCTTGGATGTTTAATTTTAAAATTTCCTCCATTCATTAGAAGACATTTAGTAACAAGCAGTTTTGAACAATTTCAAACAAACTAAAAGAGTGACACCATGGTAACTCTTGGCATCGCAATTGAGGTGCAATACTAATTTAAAAAAATCATTTAATAAGTATTTTGGAAAACCTTTGAAACTGTTATATCTATATCTATGTAATTCTTGAAAATACTTTGCCGATTCCTTTGATTGCCCGGTAACATTGGTCAAGGTATATGGAGAGAACACAAAACTACATAATCCCAACACACTGGTGTACAAGTACAGTAATGTCTACAGCACACCTACTTATGTCTGATTACTCCAGCGTGATTTGTTTATAATGTTCTATAATTAATTGCAACTTTACACCCAGCAATTTGTGTAGATTTTTGGATTCATTATACATGTAGTGTAAAATAAATTGTATGATACACGACGTACGCATTGTGAAAGATAATAAAGTTTACAATCTTACCATGAAACACTTAACTGCTTTTCATAAGGCATTCAATACAGTTCGTTAGGGCTTCATGCTGAAATTTAATTGTCAAATTAGTACCATTTGCAATGGTAAATATTCCTGTATAGTATATATTTGCCCGTTTCCTTTTCATGACTTAGGCACGGTTATTGTGAGAGTTCAATTTAACAGCGATCCTACTCTAACGACATCACCAGTTAACGGGACGCATACAAATAGATAACAGGAAACAAGGAAAACGCATTGGGGAGCGTTATCGCCAATCAGAGAATGAGTACAAATGGGACCTTTAAGAGAACGCAATAATTACAAGGTTCTAGTGTGTCAGCGATGGGATCAGTGCTAGCAATACGCTGGGGAATCCAGAATTTAAAACCTACACCCCGTAACCATAATACGTCCCTTACGTTACATACTCCTATGTAACCCTGTCATATGGATTGCAGATGTTCTACTGATAGGATATACATTTTGTTTCTAGGTCAATGGAAATATCTTATCTTGAACCTGTTTATATAGATAAAAACAGAAAAGCTCGCTATATTTCATTTGATTTAGGATTAAACTATCTCAAATGAGTTTATTATTAAAAGCGAGCCTAGAAGTTTTCATTTTAGTCATCAAAAAAGAAAATGTTGGAACAAGTTTCATAAATCAAATATTACATTAACAGTAATTAAAAACTCATTTGGTCACGTCACCAAAATTATATGCAACTATTTGTGCAAAAAAACATGTTTGAGACTTTACGCAAACAGTTTTAGTAACTTCAACATATTTTTAAATACTTGTTGCTTAACTGAGAGTTAACTGACATTCTAATACTCACGTTTGAAACTGATATGTTTGATTATTTACTCTAGTACTGATTCTTTACGCTAGACGGCGCTATACAATACAGTTGTGGCATGTAATGTGGGATGTACATTACTTTGCTTCAAGAGAGCATACAACATATTAACCATTCCTTATAGTTTTAATGGATATTTAATAACAGATTATCCAGTCTTCGTCGATTTCGTGAACATTCTACAACAGATTATCCAGTCTATCTAGCTGACATGAACATTTTACGTCAAATTATCCCGTATATTTAGATTTCATTGACATTTTACAACAATTTATCAAGTCTATTTAGAATTCCTAGAAATTATACGACATACTATCCAAGCTATTTAGATTCCAGGGGCATTCTACAACAGATTATCCAGTGTGTTTAGATTGTATGGATATTTTACGACAGTTTATCCAGTCTATTATGGTTGCATAGGTAATATACGACAGGTTATCTAGACTTTAATGAAATCATTCTACAGGTCTTCGTGCTAAAACTAAACACATAATGCTCGGAGCTGTTTTGATTTATTCCCTGTACTAATAGAAAGGATTTAAGCATTAAGTTTTGTTCCTTTTACGCCACAGCTGTTAAGTCGGTGTCTTCCGAATGAACGTCTTTTCTTCGGTGAATTATTTTAATTTTAAATCATAAAGTATTTATGTGTAAAGGTTATTAAAAGTATTAAATTACCCATAGTCAATATGAATACCAAAAGGAAATAAAAACCGTACATAAAGTTGTATAAACTACAGTATCACCCTTTGGCATTACTGCGACCTCATTGTAGACACTGAGTCCTAAAGCTTGCAATCAGGTCCTGATGGTGATATTATGATCATTTAGTGTAGATAAAAGGTCATTATGAAACCATCTAATTCCGTAATAGTCTTATTCGATTCCTCAACAGACGCATATTAACTCGTGAGTAGCTTAAGACCATGTTCCATGATTAGTCAATATCTCCTCGTTACAAGAAAAAAATGTCGATTGGGTTATAAATCGGATTTCTAAATTCCTCCTATTAACCAATCTCTTCACTAGGCAGTTTGCACTGTAGTGTTTACAAACAGAGATAATGCTGTTAAATGCTCTGACAGCTGGTATATTGAACGTATACTATTTGGAAATGATATCCACCTATCCACCCGATAATTGCTATAGTTTCGTACACATTTCTTTATCTGTTACGTTTAGAAACTTTAAAAAAGAATATATATGGTCATAAAACATGTGTGTATATTTATTCCCTTTCTTGTTCATACTCAGAAATGTTGTTTTTGAATCTGTTAGTATAACCCATATTCCGGGTGCATGTGCATATACATATTGCTAGGTTAAAGCACACTGCATATGCAATTACAGTCTAACCAGCTTTTCCATTGACTACGCGTTATTCCCTCGCTTTACATTTTGTCTGCAATATCCATTATATCAACATTGCCCGGTTTCCTTTACCTTTGCATTAGATACGATGTCCGTTTCTGTGTAAAGACAATCATTAACATAATTCGGATTGTTGCCATTAGTCAGGAAGCCGCAATCGCCATTTTGGCAATGAAGACCTTTACGAAATTTGCGGTCTAAGCATTTCGTGTTGTTAGAATATTTATGAACAGTTAGGACAATCAATAAAATGTAGTTTTTAAGCTTCTGTTAGAAATACTGGCCAGGCTAGAAGGCTTAATGCACCACCTTTCGGCGTAGCTTTTGCCAAATACAACACTATGCTATAAATATATCATGATGTGTTACGTATGAGGTACAGCACTGTTAGATTTCTTCTAGTATAGAGAGTTAAATAACCTTTAGGACTCCCTTGGGTGAAATTTATCGTTTTAACAAGTACGGACTGGATGCCGTTGTCGCCTTGTGTGGGATAGATGGCGGTCGGTCAGGATTCCTATAGATCCTAATCTAAGAGACAACGATTTACACACCAATAAACATTCATCTCTGAGGATGACTTCAGTGCACGGAAGAGTACACTGACATGACAGGAGGGGAAAGTCACACAAGTGGTTTGGTAAACATTTTATAGAATGTGAAGCAATACACTCGGTGTCTTATCATGTTTACGGACAGAGACGAATT